CATAATCTACATTAGTTAGGGACACTCATTGGTGAAAGCGACGTTATAAAGTAAATAGATATATTTGTAATAGATAATTTTCCTCAGCATGTAAAGATCGAACATTATTCATTTAATAGCTATCATAATTTTTATTACATACGATAGTAATTGAAAATTGTTATTTTTGTTATAAGAGATCATATCGCATTTATTTCACCGTCAACAATCATTTCGGTTAAACTTATCCTCTATTCGTGCAGTCGCGTAATATTTGCACATCTCTTGCAGTTCCATGTTTAATATATAATTTTCGTAATAGAACACACGTATGCCTGTACAGTTGAGTTTCACAGACTACATGACGGTTGAATCTGCAGTATATTACTTCCCATGTAAGGAATTTGACTGTAATTGAGATTCTGAGATACAAGTCTCGATACAAATCACGAATCGGCCTGCGAATAATATTGGATAATTGTGGAGTGATCATGGAGATGTCTCTCTAGAAGTGATGCTGTATCGAGATACAGCGGACGAGGTTAATAACAACAACGATACATCTCCCATGTGTATATTTGGAATAATAGCAATTGAATCGGATGCAAAATACATTAGTTGAAATGTAGGAGTGAAATAACAATAACAGCTTTATGATAATCTCTTTCATTTTGTAGTGACAATGAAGTTAATCTTTCTATCAAGAGGTATAATACATATTGCATATTTTATTTTAAATTTGGTGAATACGCGAGAAATGTGTGTTTGTGTGTGTGTATATATATATGTAAAGTTATATTGTAGTAATGAGATACCTACACATGTATGTATACATTAAAACGCATCTGTGTAATATTTAGCGAAATATGTGGTGCTTATTGCGATAGATACATTTTTCGCGTGTTTTTTATTAAAGTAATTATGCGTTAACAAATTGCGAATGAAGATTTTAATTGCAAGTAATGTGCCAGATGCGTATATTGCATTCATTTTCATTAATTTTTTGCGTATAAAGATAAACAACTATATATTCGTATAATTATTGAAATGCAGTAATGCAAGGTCTATGTATCTCACATTCATAGCTCGGAATATATAAAAATACAGTTATTCTTGTAATTTTTTTTTGTGTGTGGAATAAAAAACGTACATGTATCAATATGCGTGAAACAGTAAATTTTTTCAAGCTATAAATGGTATACATGTACTTTAAAATAAAGAAAAACTCTTAACGTCGATTTATAATATACAATAAAACTAAATTAATTGCAATGAGTTTATGTTCTTGATCAATTAATATTTAAAATTTTTTTTTCCTAAGTAATTTTTTTTTATTTTTTTGAATTTTATTTATTGTACATACGTAAATACTTGAATATTTTTATATTCAATACATACGTTTTTACCTTCTCTAGAAAGGTTTTTAAAAAGAAACTTTTACTTTTTCATTTAGTGAATTATTATTTCAAAATAAATTACTATTAATTATAAACATTAATTTAAAAATGTGCGTTTAATAATTATTTAATATTCTTATTTCATTTTAATTTAACATTTTTT